AGTCTATGGAACGTGGTCGAACTCAGCCCATATCTTCATTGTTGCCTTTTCCCCTCTTCCACTCACCAGAAGACCAACATGGTCACCAGCAAGTAAGCTTACATGCTTGCTTGTGTGTTCTCTTTGAGTTTCAGTCTTGGAGGGGCACATGTTAACTCTTGACTGATCCTGTCTAATAACATGTCCAAAGTAAAAGAGATGAAGTCTTGCCATTCTAGTGTCTAAGGTGCATTCTGGCTATACTTCTTCCAACACAGATTTTTTTCATACTTCTGACAGTCCATGGTACAGTCAATATTCTTTACCAACACCATAACTCAAAGGCATCAATTCTTCTTTGCTCTTCTTTATTCATTGTCCAACTCTTGCAGACATATGAGGTGATTGAAAATATCATGACTTGCATCAGTTACATCTTTCTTTTTTAACACTTTAAAGAGGTCTTTTGCATCAGATTTGTCCAATGTAGTATGTTTTATAGTGGTTTCTTTCTTCTATCAAGTAGAACAATATACTTAAAACCAGTAAAGTCCTGGTTTAAAGGTGCACCATGCCAGTACTTCTAGAACACAGAAGAAATTGGTTGTTATTGCTGTTATTGCTAAGTGCCTTGGAGTCGGTTCTGACACTAATGACCCTGCATAGGGTTTCTAAGGAGTAGCTGGTGAGCTTGAACTACCAACTTGTGGTTAGCAGTCCAATACTTATTCTACAGATTCTAAGAATAACACAATAATCCTTCAGATTCACTCATTGTGTTTCTTTATTTGCTGTGCACCCTGATTAGATGACTCAGGAAAGGGAGGCTATTAGGAGGTCAGTTCTACAGGAGAAAGAAGAGACTATTTATTCAATGTAATTTTAGTTCTCTCCTGTTCCAAGGATCTTTATCCAACATCCACAAGGATGGGATTCAGGTTGCTGGCATCTACTGATATGGAATGCCCAAAAGAGTTTGTAAAAAGCACTAGCATATCCTTAACCTGACTTTGGCTGATCATCTCTAGAAGTAAAAAGTAGAGTCCTTTCTGAACCTACAGTGATTCACCTGATCTGGTATTTTTTAGGATGCCAAACTTCTCACTCTGCTGAAACTACTGAAAATTAATCCAAAAATCACAAGGCTAAATGAGGTGTTCCAAAACTCATTCAGTTGCTCTGCTGGTATATGGAGCACCAAAACCCTACAGGGACCACAAATGTGTCATGGACAAGTCCCTAATGCCTTAACCTCTCTTAGACCAGCTCACAGCAGGGACAAAGCACTGAATTCTCAGGTCTCGTGGGATTTAGTACCTCCCAGAATTAATTATTTTCAATTTAACAGACCTTAAGATTGGTCTAACTTACAGTTAAGAATAGCAGAACCCTAATTTCAGGGGTATTGATGAAATAACAAGAACACATCTCTCATGGGCTTTGACTAGTCAGAAAAAGGCCAGACATTAGCATCAAGGTCTGCAACCATAGAAAAGGGAAGCTGTTTGATTGTTATATGTAATGTTCTGTGGATACGACTTCCAAGGATTACATATACTGGCATGATCTGGGTTCTGACCTAGAGTCCTTGTTCCCTTATTTTCAGATTTCTCTAAGGCTGTGACACAAAAGGAGAAATTGGATAAAATGCAGTGATTATAATAATCATCATTCAACACATCCAGCACATGAAGCAATTTTCCTCTTGGTGCCTTTAACAGAAGTTCTTGTCAACTTCTCATCATCTACAGTGGGAGAGATATATACCAAACAAAAAGATCAGCCAGTAACAGTCTTGGTAGAGTGGCAAGAATATCCAGGTAAGGACTAGGAGAGGGAACTACACAGCTCTTTTTTATTTTTCTTCTCCCCTTCCCCTACTCTATCCATTCCAGTCTACATTCAGTTGGGAGCCCACCTCTGACACAGCCTTGCTACACACAGTCCTACAACAATGATGATACTGTGCCCCACTATAAACATTTTATGAACCCATGACTGATTTCTGGGGTAAGATTTTCTTAATTAATTTTTTTAAATAAGTAATGCATTCCCATGGTACAAATCTCAATATGTGCTGAAGATTCTTTTATGAATATACAAATCAATACAAAGACACACTATTTTGAAGTTGTTGTTGTTAAGTGCCATCAAGCCAGTTCCAATTCCCAGCGACACTGTATAGAGTTTCTGAGGAGCAGTTGGTGGGTTTGAACTGCTGACCTTGTGGTTCATGGTCCTGTGCTGATCCTATAGCACCACACCAAGAATCCTATTTTGAGGTATGGGATAAAAATTGTTTATAATTGGGACAGATCATGGGAATAGGGGTTGGAGATGAGGCCTGATCACTTTAGTGTCAACCATGATCTTAGTCTTATTCCCTCTGTTTCTTACCTTTAACCTTCACTTAGTCCCTCCATGGGTGCTTCTCTCCTCCTCAGTGGAGAACATGAGTTCTCTAAATTCAACTTCCTTTATTAAGTCTGAATCTAATTTATGAGGGCAACCAAGTTGAGTTCACCCACTGATCCTATATTAGAAGGAATAAGAATTTTTTATTCAAAGGTAAACTATCAAAAAAAAAAAGTAAACTATCTTTTTTTAAAAGTAAATTGTCTTCTATATTTGGAGTCCTGGTGCCGTGCTGTGGGATAAAGCACCAGACCGCAAGATTGGCAGTTCAAATTCACCAGTCGCTCCTTGAAAACTCCATATAGAGTCGCTCTGAGTCAGAACCAACTTGATAACTCTTAACAATATTTGAATGAGGTGCTGGCTATTCTTTGGGCAAGAGATGGCCTAAAAGTTAGGACTAAAGTGAAATATAAGAAAAAGAAAGGAGGCAAGTAGAAAGAGCATTAGGTCAGAGCCTTCTGATTCTGCTGAGTCAGAACTCAGCAAGAGATAAGCTCCAAGGGGGGATTTAGTGGATGCAAATAGGACTGATAGACCACAGGAGATATACTTAATTTCAAAGTATCAAGAAAAACTTACTCTGTAGGTTAAATCCTCAGTTAGAATACTGTTCATTTGTTTTGTCTGGCTTCTTTATGTTTCTATATCCAACCTATTCCTGTGGCCAGAAATGACCAGGACTCCATTAATTTACAGTGACATGTGAAATGGCTCACAAAAAAGGTTCATGCTGTTCCTTCTGCCTGATATCACTTCTATTCAGTTGTCTTTTCCATTTGTTGAGGTTTCTTTATTCACATACCTGATACTGAACACACGTTATACCAGGCTCAGTGCTAATGCCAGGTTTCAAAGGAAAACAACATAGGTGCTTTCTCAGTAGAACGGAGAAACATAGATAAGAAAATAGGTTGTTACAAATTTGGTGGCACCAACTTGGGTGGGGTCCTGGGACTATGAAAAGGGATTGAACATGAGTTTGTTGTGAGGGGTACGTCAGGAAAGGCTTCCTAGAAGAAGCTATATCTAACCTTAAATTTGATGTTTGACATAGATTGATGAATGGAAGAGAGATTATTCCGGGCAGAGACAATAGCATGGGCCACAGCCTGGGAGTGAGGAGTTGAAAGTGACTTAGTATAACTGGAGAAGGATGGTCCTTGAGGAATGGGGGCAGTTGGAGTCAGTCTGTAACAAGTGCCAGTGATGACCAAGGACTCCTGGGTCATGTTAAGAAGCTTGTCCTGAAAGGAATGGGGAGTTCTTGAAGGAATTCTCAAGTAAAAAGACAAAATCAGATTCGATTTAGTGAAAACTCATTCTCACTATAATAAGGGACTCAGATGGCAGGCGGGCATGATGGGAAGCAGGAAGAACAATTACCCAAAGTTGGAAATCATGGTGCCCTGATCTATGCTAGTGGTCACTGGGATAGAAAGAAGTGTATAACTCTGAACTGTATTTGTTGTTGTTGTTGTTTAATGCTGCTGAGTCGGTTCCAATTCATAGTGACCTTATGTAGGGTTTCCAAGGGGCAGCTGGTGAGTCTGAACCACTGACCTTGAATTTGATGAGTTTTTGGATATAGGAGAGCAAAAAGAAAAAGAGGTCAGTGGTGATGTCCATGTTTCTGGCCAGACCAACTGTGAAGACAGTGGTGATAATGACTTCATTAACATGCTTTTTACCAGTTCTAATACCCCTTTTTCAGTAGCCATGGTTTTTGAAGTATTGGCTTCACATGAAAGATTGAATTAACTTGTGAAATCTTAGGTTTATTAATGTCAATAATTCCCTGAACAGCAAATAGTTGGTCAACAAACAATACATAGGTATTGAATTAAAGTTTGCATGTTGTTGTTGTTAATCACTGTCAAGTCGGTTCCAACTCATAGCGACCCTGTATAGGGTTTCCGAGGAGTAGATGGTGAGCTTGAACCATTGGCATTGTGGTTCAAACTGACCTTGCAGTCCAGCACATTAACCCACAGTGCCAAAGTGAAAAGTCTCTTCTCCCATTAAAAATAGATCTTATTTCCCATGGCACCAAATAGAAACATTCACACGTAATGCCATTAAACCAAATGAATTTGCCGTTTTTGTTGCCTCCAAACAGTCCCATATTAGAAATGTCATATGATTCAGCCTAGAAGATAAGATTGGATCTTAATATTTTTCAGACTTCACAATCCAAGGTTTAGCACTCTCAGATAATTACCCTAACTTTCTGCTTCTAGATAAATGGGATGGGAAAACTTGTCCAGCATCACAGAATTTTTTCTCCTGGGGTTCTCAGAACAGAAGGAGCAGCAGGAGGTGCTCTTTGGACTGTTTCTGTCCATGTACCTGGTCACTGTGGCAGGCAATCTCTTCATCATTCTGGCCATTATTTCTGATGTTCAACTCCACAATCCCATGTACTTCTTTCTGGCCAACCTCTCCTTTGCTGATGCATGTTTTGTGTCCACCACAGTCCCCAAGATGCTGTCAAACATATGGATCCAGCAACAGGTCATCTCTTATGCAGGATGTCTATCACAACTGTATTTTTTCATGTTATTTGTGATGTTGGAGGCATTCCTCTTGGCTGTCATGGCCTATGATCGTTACGTGGCCATATGTCACCCACTCCACTACATCATGGTCATGAACCCTGGGCTCTGCGTCCTCCTTGTCCTTGTATGTTGGATCCTGAATGCCATCCACTCGCTCCTACACACACTCCTGATGAACAACCTGTCCTTCTGTGCAAACCATGAGATCCCTCACTTCTTCTGTGACATCAACCCACTCCTGAACCTGTCCTGTACAGACCCCTTCATCAATGAGCTGGTGATCTTCACGGTCGGGGGCCTGGCAGGCCTAGTGTGTGTACTTTGCCTGATTATCTCTTATGCATATATTTTCTCAACCATCCGGAAGATCCCCTCAGCTCAGGGAAAGCGGAAAGCCTTTTCCACCTGCAGCTCTCATCTCTCTGTGGTGTCTCTTTTCTTTGGGACTTCCTTTTGTGTTTATTTCAGTCCCCCCTCAGCCCGTTCAGCACAAAAAGGTACAGTTGCATCAGTGATGTACACCGTGGTTACCCCAATGCTGAATCCCTTTATCTATAGTTTAAGGAACCGAGACATCAAGTCTTCCCTGAGAAAGCTCTTATGGGCTAGGAAGATACATTCCCCTTAGAATTCCCTGAGTAGCACAGTTAAGAACTCAGCTACTTACTGAAAGGTTGGCAGTTTGAGCCCAACCAGAGGCACCTTGGAAGAAAGTGATTTGCCTGGTGATTTGCTTACAAAAGTTCACACCTATGAAAATCCTGTGGAGCACAGTTCTACTATTCAACTCATTGGGTCGCCACGAGTCTGGATTCATTTCATGGCAATTGGGTCGGTATGGTTTGTTTTAGTAGTAGTGACTTGACAGCCATGGTGGGACTCTCCACACTAAGCTTAAATAGATGAGGGAGAGAGATAAGAGACATCACTTCTAGTACTTGTGATCTGAATGTGAAATATTCATGCCAAAGCTCTAAGACTGAACCAGAGCAAACCTACCATCAGGTAGCGTCATTAGCGTAAATGCCTACAGTCATGATGTTCTAAAATCACAACCATCCAGATTTGTAATATGGTCAAAACAACATGGGACAGTTCATGTCCAAAATAAAGGGATGTCTAGCTGGACTGTTGAATGTGATCAAGAATAAACTCCAAGGAAGACTTAGCAATAGTCTTTCTGAAGTTTCCCAGGTCTGTAAGGCCACTCTGTTGAACGACTAAGGAGGAGAGCTGGAAAGGGTTAGATGGGGCTGGGCCCTTTAGGTAAACTCACTACAATGTGTCACCAACATCCAAGACCCACAATATTCTGGCCACCTTAAATTTCACAGGCAAACTTCATTCTTCTCTTTACAAGTCTTTTTCATCTTTGTAGTCCCAGTGCTTACCACTTGGCATGATACTTGGCACAAGTTACTGTGTGCTGAACCCCACTTGGGTGATTAAAATCATAAAGTTAGGAAATAATTATTTTTATATTGTTGCTGTTAAGTGCC